CAGGAACACATGTGCTTAAGTATTGTTAAGCCTGATAATTTAAAGGTAAGCTAATATCTAGTGGCATTGAGAAATGAGAAATGAGCAAGCAGGGTGCTGTAGAACATGAAAGCAAGTCAGGATTGCTAAAGGGGGAAAAAAAAAATTGAGAAAAGTTGCCACATCTCACGCAAAATTCATTTTCATCATAAACTCGGGTCGGGGGACCAGATGATCTCAATCTCAGAACACTGAAGTAACGTGTCCATTAACAAAGATTTTGTTTTTAATTAATCTACTTAATTAGAGATAATGCCATAATACTGGGGAACAGGCAATGCAACACCTGCATTTAAGAAAAGGAAAAGGGATCCCAGCACTACAGGTCTGTTAGTCTTGACTGCAACAGCATGCAAGGTTTGAAAACAGATTCTGAAGGACACAGAAATTTAAGACCTGAAGGTAAAAAAAAAAAAACAACCCCAACCCCCCCCCAAAAAAAAAACAAACAGAATGCAATGCAAGTTAACCAAAACTAGATGGCACAAGTTACCCAATATCTTTCGCTGATAAGAGAAAGCAGCTTTTTCAGACAGGAGAAATGTGGGCACTAACACAGCTTTCAACACCATACCAAATAGGAAAGCAGCTAAACGAGAGAATAGTACAGTAAAATCCCTGTTATTTGGGATGTTACTAACCGGCATACTGTATTAACTGGAGTTTCCAGTGGGGAGACAGGGGGAAAGCTCACACGTGGTGGCCACTGCTGCCACCCACTACCCCGCACTGCCACAGCAGCTGCTCCCCGCTCTGCCCCTGCTCTGCATGATCTGAAAAGCCCTGTTGGGTTTTCAGATAACCAAAATTTTTACATAACCGGCAATCCCCTCACCCCGGGGGATGCCGGATAACAGCGATTTTACTGTGGTAGTTCAGGAATGGATGATGAGGAGAACAACAACAAGCTGTGCTAAAAAAGATTGGGAAAAAGTGGCTTCTGCAAGTCCCTTAGGGACAAGTCCTGGAATGCATTCACTTGATGTTTTCATCATGCTGTGTTACGTTACAGTGGTTAAGGTTACCCTGCCAGGCCCCAGAGGCCTGTGAGACCAGAAGGATTTGCCTTACGGACTCTGCACAAGGAGCATGTTCAGCCCCAACTCCCTGCCGGTGTGCAGAGGCACAGCAAAGAGCTGAGGTGCGCGGTATCGAAGAGCAGGGAGTCAGAAGGACTCTAAAACTGAAGGGCCCCCAGTACAAGGTCATGCCCTTACAGACTATACAGCCAATTCATCCTGGAGGCTCACCTTCAGGCAACCGCAGGAGGCAGATGATCGTAAAGAAACAGGGCTGGAAGGGCCCTCCAGAGGTCACGCAGTTGGCTGGATCACCCTCATCCAAACCACCCCACTGCAAACCACAATCTAACCCCAGCGTTTCTCAACCTGTGGCCTGCGACCTAGCAGACTAGATGAAAGGGTTGCAAACAAGCTGGGAAAACGGATCCACAAACTTGAAGGCGTGGGCCACCTTGGGGCCTTTCCCTTGCCGGCTGGCAGAGCTGCAGCTTGTGAGAGGCTGCTTGGGACCCCACCCAATGCAGGGGGGGAGTCGGGAAATGGGGTTGCAAATGGGTCCTGGCACGAAAGAGGGTGGGAGCCACGGCTCTGCGCTACCCTCAGCCCTGCCACAGGGCTGGGAGGGGGGGGGCACCGCGCACATGCCACTGTGCACCTCGGGAACCGCGCACAAGGAGCCAGCACAGGGGGCAGAGAGGGGCCGGCGAGCGCTCACCTGCCCGAGGTAGCCAGGCGGCACAGCATCGCGGCGGGACGCGGCTCCGCTGCA